GAAAAAAAAAAAAAAAAAAAAAGTAATAAGCTGGATGTAAACTTTTCCCATGAGTTTAAAGAAATGGACTGCAAAACATGAGTTGATCTAGTATATAACATATAATTGGATTTTTGTTAGTGGGCAATAAACAATTTCTATAGTAGGAAATAGATAAAGATAAAAATAAGCTAATACTGGAATATTTTATCATATGATTTTATACAAATATTTTATATTATTAAGTAACACAACAAATTTCAAAGAGGTCATACAAAAGCTTTATTAGCTTGTTTTAGCTAATGTGTCATGACAAATTTTTTTTTGGTACTCAGGATTGAATTTGGGACCTTGTGCTTGCGAGGCAGTCAATGGAACCACTGAACTAAATCCCTGGCCCTCATGACAAATTTAATGATCCTAGAAAATTTTTGTTGTTGTTGTTTTTAAGAGAGGGTCTTGCTATGTAGTTCAGGCTGGTTTTGGGCTCACTGTGTAGCCCAGGCTGGCCTTGAACTCACAACAGTCTTCCTGCCTTAGCCTCCTAAGTGCTGGGATTATAGGCATGCAGGACCACATCCAGCTGATCCTAGGAAATATTTTAGTTACATTTAAAATAATCAACGAAGACTGGGAGTGTAGCTCAGTGACAGTGTTTGCCTCGCATGTGTAAGGCTATGAGTTTGATCACCAACCGTGAAGCAGGAAGATTGCACGTTCTTGGCCAGCCTGGGAAACTCAGGGAGACTACCTCAAAATGAAAAATGAAAAAAGGTTCTGGATGTAGCTCAGTGGTAGAACACGTTCTAAGCATGCCCGAGGCCCTGGGTTTAATTCCCAGTACCACAAAAATATTGTTAAAAATGAAATAATCGACTCTTTTGGCCACTTCAACATATTTCTATTTTACTATTTCTATTGACATGACTTTGGGATAGGTATTGAGAATAGCTGAAAATAATTATATTTAAGCCTGTGAAAAAACATTTGGTATTTTAAAAAACAATACTGTTTGCTTCCTTAATATCAATGCTTTCTTTGATGATTCTTAGGGGATGAAAACGCCCTTGTTCCTGCCATTCCACTGTACTGTATATTTTACTCAGCTCATAACAATTACAAATCCAGCTGGGCGTGGTGAAGCACACCTGTAATCCTAGCACTTGGGAGGCTGAGGCAGGGGGATCATTGTGAGTTTGAGACCAGCCTGGGCTACATAGTGAGTTCCAGGTCAGTCTCCACTACATAGTGAGACCCTGTCTCAAAAAACAAACAAACAAACAAACAAAAACAACAACAAAAAAGACAAGTCCAATAACCCATTACTAAAGCCAAAGATCACTCTTAACAAACGTATATCAAAGGTAAGACTAGTTTTTTTGTTAATCATTGAAGGAGATTTCCTCTATGTTTGATACCTCTGTATATATCATTCACCTAATGGTGCCATAAAATCAAATTTGAGGTAAATAATGGGTATGCCTATCTTTCGCAAAGTTGGAGAAGGGATATTGTGAACACAGGCTCTTCTTCAGGAAGGTTGGTTATAGGAAAGCGGACACACAGAAGATGAGTATTGTTGCACCAATTACCTCAAAGCTCTCAATAATTGAACACTCCTGGAAAGCTTTTGTTATTCAGGGCCCATCAGAAGACCACTGGAGTGGAGACTCAAAAAAAATGCCTTCATGTGCTTTAAGAAAATATTGCCATCTAGTGGCAACTACTCGAGTAGTAGACACAAGGACCTAAGGTTCCCTTGACCCTTTAAGAACACGGCGAATTTAGCCCCCAATAGCAAAATATTTTAAATTTAAGTTCTATTTTATACTTAACATTTTTATTTCTACAGAGTTATGTTTTTAAATATTCCAAGCAAGCCCTTGAGGTAGGGATGTTATTTGAGATAACTGAGGATCAGAGAGGATAACTTACCCAAGATCATCTTTTCATTTATTTGTTTAAAATCCATTTATCAAGCAATATTATGTGACCATCATTTCCCTAGGCTTGGAGTAGGGGCATGGGTTATGGAAAAATTCAAACAGAACTAAGACATATGTCCTTAAATAATTCTCAGTCTTGTGGGGACAGTTATGAATGGTGGGATCAGATTTGTACACAGGACTACTAATGTGTATCAGTGTCCTTCTTATTATACCCAGTACAGTAACACAACATAAACATAAATGGTACAGTATACATCTTGGTGTAGAAGCATAAATAAATAGGGGCCTGGCTTACCCCTAGAGTTCTTGCACGATCGGATGAGGTCAGTCATAGAGGAAGGTAGTTTCCACGCAAAATGAATTGCAGAATTAAAATGTCAGCTGAAGAGGGTGACTGTCCTCTCTCCCTTTGAATCCGTGGCTTATAATCTGCTGTGGGCCTGGAAACCAGATAAGGACAGTTATTAAAAAGGTATTTATCATGAAAGTGAATGACCCGAGTGAAAATCCCAGAAGCTCCCTGAGGAGTGCTAGGCATGACCTTTAGAGTGCAGACTTGATCACTTCTGTTTTGGCCACGCTGGAGATCTTAAAATGTCTTTTCTGTGTGCTGGGGCTGCTATGTTAGGCAGTGAGCTCTGAGTGGGCAGAACAGACGGCGGTGCCCAGTGAGCACGGTGAGCTAAGGAAGTCCCATCCTTATCAGGGCATGCCTGCCTCCCCAGGTTGCACTAGGATCACCCACCTAACACTGTGCACCACAGAGATTGATCTTTTCTGTTTTTCAAACATTCCCAATTCTTGCCTCACTCAAGCCATTGTAATATCTTGTCCCGTCTTACCCTCTGCACATGGCTGGCTCCCTTTCAGAATTCAGCTTAAACGTTAGCTTCTCAGAAAGCTCTCTCTTTTTTTTTTTTGGTTTTGGTTTTTTGAGACAGGGTCTCACTCTGTAGTTGAGACTGACCTGGAATTCACTATGTAGCCCAGGCTGGTCTCGAACTCACAGAGATCCTCCTGCCTCAGCCACCCAAGTGCTGAGATTACAGGTGTGTGCCACCACACCCAGCTAGAAAGCTCTTCACCGACTGCTCTATCTGACATAGGGCCCATCTCCTTTTCCACCCTCTACCAATGTCTTACTGGTGTCCTAAAAATGTCCTGTAGACATTTTTCTTTCTTTCTTTCTTTCTTTTTGGGGGGCGTACCGGGATTGAACTCAGGACCTTGAGCTTTCGAGACAGGTGCGGTGCCACAGAGCCAAATCCCTGGCTCCATGTGGACATTTTTCTATATCAACAGAAACTTCAGTACATACAACCTTCTGATACTGTTATGTCCATTATATTTATTGTCTGTCTCCCCGCAACCAGAATGTAAGCCTTGTGAGCGCGGTATTGGTTCCTTGGCTCATTTCTGTTCTCCCTACCACATAGAACCCAACTTGGCATGTGGTGAGCACTCAATAAATATCTATGCATGAACTGATTGAAAACTCTTCCTCATCCTCAACTGGCCACTCTCAATAAACACAGCCAGACTGGCCTGATTTTCATAAATAGATTCTAACAGCTTTATCTGGAGGCTCACAAAGCACTAGTGCTTTTGCCAAGAAAGAGAACTTCCACATCACCTTCTCAGGGCCCAGGCTTCTGGGAGCAACCAGGCACTCACTGGGTACATTAAATTGGGACTTCTAATTTTGTCAGGTAGGACACTGGATAGCAAAGTCAGGGCCTTATTCGAATGTCAGCTGAGCTTCCTTCTGTGTCGAATCACCAGCTGCACTCCTACGAGGCGTGGCTCTGCCTCCATGCATCCGGTCCTCGGGAGAGTGGAGACTCCCTCACTCCTTCCTGCCTACTGAATAAACAATGCCAAGTTCGTCTCTGCTGGTATGAAGAGTGGGGACATCTTGAGGAAAGAACTGCATAGATCCTATGGAGGGCTGAAAAGTTACCAACATGCAGTAGGAGCCATGCAGCTAGGAAGGCGCAAGGTCCCCCAGACCAGCGATCTCGGGCCATAGTCAAGAACATTTAGTTGGCGTTAAGTGTTACTTGAAAGGGAGCAGCGGAGAACCCTGTTCTGCCTCTTCAGAGACTCAGGGCAGGTCTGGATACTTCCCTCCAGAAGGAAATACTAGCCAGCACCACCCGCTCTGAGGGCAGCTGTTCTTCCTGACGTGCTGCTGTCTCCAGCTCACCGTTCCTGAGCTCACACCTTCAAACCCATCCTGACATCGGCCCCTTTGATATAATGAATATTCCCCCACGTCTTTGCTCATGCTGTTCTTTCTCCACCCCTCAGCTAACTTTACGTACCGCCCTTTGGCTTCTGTTTCTACTTCTCAATCTACCTGAACTACATTTGCCATTGCAACTAAGGGTGGATCTGTTTCTAAACATGCAGACTTATGTAAGGAGAATTGATGTTTTGTGATTGTTAGTCTATCCAAGAACAAGGTAGCCCTTTCCATCTTTGTGTTTCTGAGGAATATTTAAACTTTTCATCATATAGATCTTATACCTTTCCTGGCAAATTTATTGTGGGAATTTATTTTTGTTTTCATTGTTGCCATTATAAAGAGCATCTTTTTTCCCACTATATATGTCTTTGTATATATAAAGGCTATTGGTTTGTACACATTAATTGAATTCTTTCAATTTATGGTAGATTTTCCACTTGATTGCCTTGAGTGTTATGGATACACAATCATTTCATCTAAAAATGGTGGTATTTTATAACTCTTTTTTTCAAGTTTTTTTTTCCTTGTACCGGGGGTCACACTCGGGACCTTGTACGTTCAAGGCAGGCGGCAGCACCACTGAGCTAAATCCCCGGCCTGTTTTCTTTCAAGTTTTGATGTTATGAATTTGTTCCTTTTATGCAACTGCACTAATACATCTAGAATAACTTTAAATGACAATGGTGAAAATGGGCTTCCTTATCTTTTATTTTTGTTTTTGTTTTTGTTTTTGTTTTTGAGACAGAGTCTCACTATATATTTTTTGGCTTTTCTGTTTTTGCAGTACCAGGGGTCAAACTCAGGACCTTGTGCTTGTGAGGCAGGCACAGTGCCACTGAACTAAATCCCCAGCCCCTCACTGTGTAGTTCAGGCTGGACTTGAGCTCACTATGTAGCCCAGGCTGGCCTTGAACTCGCAGCGATCCTGTTGCCTCAGCCTCCCGAGTGCTGGGATTACAGGTGTGCGCCACATCTGGCTGGAAAGTTTAAAGTTATCCCCAGGCCTTGCACAGTTTGCCTTTGGCATATATTTTCAGCTTCCCCTTCCTCATTTCCCACAGTCTGGGTTGCTGCCTCTCTGCTCGTTGAATGTACTAAAAGTACCTCCCCACCTCCACCCTTCCCACACACTGTGACCTTATCACCTTCTCCTTCACAGTTTGGCTTCTTGCTTCCTCAGGAAAGGCTATCCTCACACCTCAACTCAGGTGTTATACTCTCATTGCATCCTCTCCTTTATTTCATGGCCCTTTTCACCACAGAGCACTTAGGACACTTACATAGAACTATAAATATAATTTCTTATAGTCTGTCTTTCCTGTTGGATGGTGAATTACAGTCAAACAATTATACCTTGTCGTTCTATCTGAAACTATTTGTTATGGCTGGGGTGTAGTTCACAGCGGTAGAAAGCTTATTTGCCTAGCATGTGTGAGGCCCTGTGTTTAATTCACAGTGCCACAAAAAAGCAAACAAAAGATCTATTTGTTAAATAAATAAGTGTAAATTATTCATTATGTGAATAAGACACAAGGACTGTATCGCCGATTTCTTATATAAGAAACATCTCAAGGCTGAGTGTGATGGTATACATCTGTAACCCCAGCACTCTGGGAGGCTGAGTCAGGAGGATCACAAGTTTGAATTTAGTCTGGGTAATTTAGTGAGATCCTATCTCAAAATAAGAAACAAAAACAAAACAAACAAACAAACATACATAAATAATCTAAAAGGGCTGGGAATGTAGCTCACTGTGAATACCCTGGGTTCTATCCCCAGTACAATACACACATATACATAAGACCCATCTCCAGTTCTGAGACTGCACAATCATGAATGAATAGTGTCTTTGCAGGGGAAAGGAAGATGCTATCAAAGCAAAATCATTAGAAAGCGAGTGTATATTGTTACACTAGATAGAGTCTACTCCAGCCAACCTGAAGATTCTCCCAAGTGCCAAAGATGGAACAATCTGTATAAGAAAAAGAACTACAACAGATTGCAACACTTTAAGTATACTTAGGGCCAGGGATTTAGCTCAGTGGTACCGTGTCTGCCTCACAAGCACAAGGTCCTGAGTTTGATCACCAGTACCAGAAAATAAATAAATACATAGATATGTTTATACCATAATAATACTATGTAAATAAAAACAGGCTTAGCCTTCTGGAAGATGGTAGGAAATCATCTTAATCTTTTGAAAACTGGTAATAAAGAAGAAAAAAATCAAGTCTTTATTCTGTTTTTCATACAGTGAAGGATGTATTCTTGTTATTGAAGAAAAATGAAAGAATTAAAATATCACAGTTTTGTAGCCTAACCTGAAGTAATTGATCTAGACAATGATTATCAATGACTGATCATATTATTATCTGGGATTTTGATCAATTTCAAGTACACAGTCCAATATATAAAATGTCTCACACGAAAAAAGTCAAATGTGAATCAGATTAAGAGTCTAGGTCTACCTCCCCATTTACAAGGAATAGAGGGGACATGTTACAGTGTATCACAGGGATGCCATGAACAAGTCCAAACTGGAAAACTTTATATGTAGAAAACTCTTTTCTTCCTTCTTTGCTTTCTTTTCTCTCTCTCTTCCTTTCTCTTTCTCCTTCCCTCCCTCCACCCTCCCTTCTTTTCTTTCTCTCTCTCTTGTGCTGATTGGACTCAGGGTCTCTCACTGTATCACTGAACTACAACCTTAGCCCATGACCTTATTTCTTCTAAAAACAAAAGTTTGTGAAGAATAAAAATAGAGAAGGAAAGAAACTTAATGGTTAAAGACTTGAAAGACCTCACTACCATTTGCACTGTATGGGCCTTGTTTGGTAACTGGTGCTTGAAGATGTTGGAATTACTGGTTTTATTTAGGTGTTGCAATGGCATTGGGCTTAATATTATTTTTTAAAAGCCTCCCTATCTTTTAGAAATATATAGAACAATATTTACAAATGAAATGATGTAATGTCTGGTATTTGCATCAACTTAATCCTGGTGGAGAGAGTGCGTAGGAAAATAAAAAGGACACAAAAGAGCCTATGAATTGACCATTGTTAAGACTGCTTGATGGCTGTATGGGAATTCATTGAAAGAATGTTTCATTTATATATGCTCAAAAATTTCAATTACATAACAGGTCAACATGTAAAAAATTAATAGAAAACAAACAAACAAAAGAACTCCCTCCAT